CAAATTATTCGAAAAATGGCGCTTACTTTCGAGTGAGTTTAGAACTTGGGAATAATAAGGTTGAACCAACTGACCTGACATTTCTGAAATCAGAAAATAACGCTTCTCCAGCGTTTCTAAAACACTCCTTTTTCCGGTTATTGCGTGAGAGGGTTGCGCATTGCCCCGAAAATATCACCGAGTATTATCATGCTTTTGCTTTGCGAGTCACATTTCAAGTTCATCTAGTGTCATTTTGAGCGGATCAACAATCTCAATTACGAAACTCGAAATTCAAAAACCTCTTTTTTAGGTCAAAAAATCGTGCTGAAAAATTACGAAACAATGATCAAAAACCAGCGTCTAAACCCAAGCCAACAGTCGATTTCGGTAAGTGGCGAATTTTCGAATTCTTTGTTCGCGAATTTCAAAGCCCTTGAAATTGTTTATCGCTCAAGCAACAAAGTACCGCGCCCGTGTGTGTGCTTTTGTTCAGGAATTGTAAACATCACGTTTTCATCCCCTTTTCTTTGGTCGCTGTCGGACAGATGTTGATGAATTCACTGACAGCCTCGGTGAATTTTTCTGTTCCTACTAGCGATGGCCGACAGGACCTTCATTTTCGAAACATTTTTCGAAAGTCTGTTCTGACTTGTTTAAATCTTCTTAAAGAATTTTACAAGGTTCTTTCTGACTCGCACTGTAACTTGACAGTAAAACTAGGTATAAACCAAAATATTCAAGTAAAAATATGGAAAATATAATTTTTTAAGTAGCATTTTCGGATCGCCAATAAGATTGCTGTATTTGGCCTACCAGCCAATCAAAACTCAGGAATCGAGAAGTCCGAATTTCAAGCTGACGATCACGTACTTTCACATTTCTTTCAGAGTAACGATCAAGTTAAAGTCAACTACTTCAAGTCACTATCCGACTCGCTTTTCAAGAGTTTCGATACCGAGGTTGACTGCAAAAACTTCGAGGTAATGATCTTTTCAATGCCTTATTTTGTTGGTTTTTCAAAATTACTCGCGCGAGAGAAAAAAAACGAAATCGATAGGGCTACCCACGACAGTTCGGATAATGCTTGATCCGATTAGATTTTTTTTTGACGACGGAGGGGTGAAATTTACTCACACGTAAGCCAGCTGTACTGCGGATCGTGACTTTTTCGAAGAAGATTATAGAATTCCTGCTAGATAAGCTGAATCGGTTGTTGACCTTTTTTGACCGAAAAAACTGTGTCTCGTTTCTATACATTCTTGCGCAAGAAAGAAAGAAAGTAAGAGCGATTTACGTGAATATTGCGTTGTTCCAAACGTAATTATGCCCGTTGAGTCGACTTCCTGAAAGAAGCCGGCTGAAGTGGGAGGTCCTTAGTTTTAATTTTCCCGTTTGCAGCTCTGTTTTCGTGAAATTTTTATCACAGAGGTTAACCGGGATGGCTCCTGACTCATATTTCTGAATCCTGTAAATTACATTATGTCTAGCTCAAAATTAATCTAGTAACAATGAACCTAATTTGTTGATAAGAATAATCCATGTTTACAGAAACGTTTTCAACAGGGACAAGTAACACGCTAATAATTTGCTAATTTGCTAATGCTTGTAACATGTCTTGTTAGAATGTCTTCGTAATTATGCTTTTTGGCTCATTTTACGTGAACTCTGCTGTTTTATCATTTGCGTCATTCATGTATTTGATCTTTAGAAAAATTCATGAAAGGCGGTCCCTCAATTTCACCGAAAAATTGCTGAATTAAGGGACACCAGCGCGGTTAATATATATTTCTGACATGACAAATTTTAAATTTAAGCTGTGTTGTTCTTTTTTAAAGAAATAGTTTCAATTCTACATTCATCTTTTGCTCAAATGTATGTTTATAAAATAGACAGAGTTCGATCACGTTTTCATGGTTTCAGAAAAAGGGGAATTAACACGCCCCTCATTTTTTTCCAGCGAGAAATGTTGCCTAACAAGCCAAAAGATGTTAGATCATAAAAGTTAGGAGGTGCCCACGGAAGCAATGTACAAAACAATCTGGAAGTGGCTCGTTTTTTCAAGGGGGACTGTGCTGAATATCGTATCACCCCGTCCATTACTGATTGGAGCGCCTTAATTGAAAATACATGACCGCTACTTCCGACCAACTGTTTTCTTCAGACGCTTTCCCGCGGGATGCTGCACTGGTCGGAGCGACATTGGTAAGTGATTTTTGCGGCACACGCTGGTTCCTCCGTGCTGTTTCCCTCTCATAATAACTAAAGCCGTATTTACTCGGCGCTAGAATAATAAATCCTGACCAAACTGTTTATTGTTAAAGGAAATGAGCTTTAGTCTTATTCAATTTTGAGTTGTTTCTTGTTTGAATATTTCAAAATTGTTTTTGATAAAAATTGATAGAAAAAACCAGTTGTATAAATAGATATTTCTTTTGCGAATGAATTTCGTATTGAGTGGAACCCGCACGGGGGTCAAAACCGCATCCGATCCGGCATAATTACGCACGCCAATGGATATCAAGTCACCCAGAGTTGCCTCTTATGAAGCCTATTTTGCATAGATTTGATTTTAATCCCCGCATCGCTTCAAGGAAAATTCGCGCTATTCATAGCCAACGGGAGCACATGGCAGCTATTTTCAACAACATCGCTTTTCAAAGTCACGTGGAATTAACTCGCAACATCGGATCCCCAGATTGCAAAGAATAGAAATGATTTTAGGTGGGGGTTTGATGTTTGAGAACTTTTAAAATTTTCCAAAACACCAAACCCTAATGACGAAACGGTGTCCAACAACAATACTTGCCCACTGCTACCCACCGCAGATAATAATCCCGCACAGCGTCAGTCCGACTTGACCCGCTTCCGTTCGTAATTCCACGGGTCGCGAACTGCTGCGTCAAATCATTTGATAATTTATTGGTGAACGAAAAAAACTTCCACGAGTCTTCCCGAATCAATTAAAATAAAACTACTAGAGTATGAAAATTTCGCAACTAACCTTTCAACCTTCTTGTGAACGACGAAACAAAAAATTCCTCAAAAATACTATTCTGTGCTTGATAATATATTATTGTCAGATTACAGCGCTCTTTCTAAAGAGACAACGACCGTGGAGCATTTTTATGGGCAAAGCTAAGTGCCGCCTTGAAAATAGCTTCATGTTGTTTAATGTTCTTTTGGAAGTGGAGTTTATGCAGGACAAGGCCTTTCTCTTTTATAGATTCAGTCATTTTCGCCTGGTTTTAGCTTTTTGCCATCAAAATTGATGAAACAAAAATTCTAAATTTGAACGTCGAATCCCGGAAATCCTTGAAATTGGCAGTAAACTTCTAACTAGTAATCTCACTTGTCCACTATGAGCTTCTGTGAAAGTGCTTCATATTTCGAATCCACCGTTTGATTTGCTCAATCCTTTGATCCTCGGTAATTTCTGGACCGTGCTTCAATGAATTTTTGTTCTTCTAAAATTCTACGTTATTGTCGATTACTATCAAGATCGAAACTCGCTTTTTTAGAGCCATATTTTCTTCGTAAGCATGTTTCCTTCGCTCACATTCTAAAAAAACTGCTCATGTGCGCAGAATTACGGTTCATTTCCGTTTTGCGTGCGTTAGCGGCTGCGGCCGAAAATAATAATCGAGTTGGCGACGGCTTTGCGCAACGCCTAACGCACAACTGCATCCGAGCCAGGCTTGGCGCCCCGTTCAAGAAAATCCAATTTTGCCACTTTTTGATAAAATTGTGGTCGCACAGCGGCGGTCAACCCCGTGGCGTCCGCTGACGCTGCGGGAACGCCTCCTCCCTGACGAGTTTGCCCAGCTTCTTTTTTCTTCAACTAAGTAATTTAATATTTTCAAGACTCTGTATTTGTATCACGTGATTCTCTTTCTTCTCAGTAATTTTTCTTTTGAAAATTACTGTCTGAAAAACCTGATTCTTTTTGTTTAATCAGCGATTTCGTAAGAAGTCAGGTTTGTCTTTGATAAGATTCGTCCGCAAAATATTAGCCAAGCACTCAAGTGCTAGAGACAGATAGAAACAGGACAGAGTGGTCTCTCAGTCTCGGAAGCATTATCTTACAAAAACTAAGGCGTCAACTGCCGAGTGCCAATTTTTTTTCGTAATCACTGTTTTCGCCCGTTTCGAGTTACTATAGCTTGAAAAGCTAAACGCATCGCTGTTTATGAAAGAAAGGTACAGACGGCTCAATTTTCGGCTTTCCAAATTGCCGCGCTTCAAAATATTTGGAACGTTTTATTCAAATTTCTGGCCGCGGCTCAGGAAGCCCAGAAATTTTTTCCAAAGTCTAAGCAAAAGAGCGATGAGGGAGACGTGTCCATTTAGCTGGCGGGTCATCAGTTAGTGCGTTGTTATCGCCGCTAAATTCCTGCATAAGGACAGCTTGTAGATCCGGATTCAATCAGCCGAAAATGCAGGAGTTCGAATAGATAGCTGATAACCGAACTGACCTTGGAGATAAAGAAACATCTACCGATGCGGTTTTTTCTTCGGTTCAGAATGTTTTTGCTTTCAATTCTTTTTAAAGGAACAAGCTGACGTCAATTTTAATAGGCAGTTAAGCGAAAGAAAGGTCGAGTTACCCAGGAGGGATTAAAATTTAAAGATAAGAGAGGACAACTTAAGTTCAGCCTCGAAAGCAAAAACAGCACGGGAAGAGATCAAACAGAATAGAAAGCGTGGTGGAACACATAATCTTTCATTAAAAAAATAAGCATTGAAGATTCTGTATAGTATTTTTTTCTGGGTTGAATTTTCAGTGCTACCTCTAATCTCGTGTCGAAAAGAGCCGAAGCCAGATGGATTTACAAAGAGTGCTGTTACAGTTCCTGCGGGTGTCATTATCCAATTCGGAAGCAGCCGCTGAAAGTAATTGAGTTAGACCGCGCAGTTCTAAAATTGAACCTCCACCGCCGTTCAAAAAGCAGCGGTTTCTCGCCTAAACCGGAAGTTATCTCGTTTACGCTTTCTTTACAAAATGCTTTGGAACTCGGATTTTATTTTTTGGTGGGGATTCCCAATATGACAGGGTTAGGGTTTTTCCATCGGTAAGACTCAATCAATTTTCTTGCGTAGAAAACAACATCTTCTTCAACAGCCGGTACGACGCGAAGCTGGATATCATGAGAAGGAGAGGATGCAAATTGTTTGATGATGATTTTTTGCATGAGATCGCTTATTTCTTCTTGCAATTTAAGGCGATCCTGAAGATTATCTACTTTTTCAGCAAGACTGTGAGTCAGTTTCATATCGTCGATTTTCGCTCGCTCCAATGTCTCTAATTTCTGGATAACATTTTTGAGTTCTTTGACGTTCATTTCCACTTGCAATTGATGTTTGTGCTCCAGATCCTCAACTCTTTGAGTCAGATTATCAATGAATTTTCTATTCTCAGTTTCCACCGGCGATTCGAACTCTTTTTCTAGCCTATCTACTTTTTGAGTAAGAGATTCGAGGTCTTTCTTCATCAATTTCACCATTTTTTTGAAGTTCTAAAGAGTTCAATGAGTGAAAGAATATCGTTTGCAAACCTACTTGAAAGACGCTTGTTCGGTTTCTGGTCATTTGTCAGCTTCTTTTCCTTCTTCTTGCAACAGCTCTTAGAGAAGCAATATGCACAGAGTCCATAACACGCATAAATCAGACTGAACTGTCTCCAGAATTTTTATCTGTTACTACCTGTCAGAAGCAAATCTCCTTGTTTACCTTCAGTGATTGAATGCCAAACTCTATCAAGTACAATTCGATCTCAATTTTCCTACCGATTCCTTGGATTTCTCATGAGGCATTTTTTAGACACGTGAGAAAATGTGTGTATTTAGGGTGCAAAAAAACGCAAGATAGGGTAAAGCAGTCACTCATTTGAATAATTCTAATGAAGCCTGTGAAAGTGAATATCTCAAGCTCCGTTAGGCTCGAGCAGAAAGACTGACAGGCGAGCGGGAAGAAACGGATTATTCCCTCACGACGTGGGGCATAATTTTTCCGGAAGTCGGGCGCTGCTTCTTTTGCTTCTATTTTGAAAAACAGACTCCGAAAGAGTTTTTTGCCTAATCGACTTTCCATCCGGAAAATATTTTGGACGGATAACTTGGCCTCTTTCTCCATCGAAAAATAATGATTCTGGTCGGGTTATCTCGCCGAGGAAGATCTCCTGGAGACGGTAAATGTTTGCCTGCCCTCTCGATCGGCGGTCATCTTATGTCACCGAGCGGTAGGTTCTGACCATGCCACATTTGGTTATTTTGATTTCACTCGCCTCGCAAGGGACTTAACCACCTGTTAGATCGGACCTTGCTCAACCACCTCTAAAAACCCGCCGGGGCACTCTTTCAGTATCGAAATGGAATTGTTTTTCTTTGATAGAAACTGACTTTTCATACAATAGTGTGACAGGGCGTAAATACTGATAGAAGATCTTCGAAAGAGCGTCAAAAAAGAATACTTCTTTTACATCAAAAGATGGGAAACGAGCCTTCAAAACCACCTCCGAAAAAAGAGCCAAAGAAGGAGAAAAAGCCGAAGAAGCCCAAAAAAGATAAAAAGCGGAACCTTCTCATAAAAACGTATCCATATCCTGATCCCGAAGAAACAACTGTTTACCCAAAACTAAATCAAGACTATCGCAGTTTCAAGGTATGTTCGATGATATTCAGTTCCTTAAAAATTTAAGCCTCTTCCGTTTGAACAAGTAGCCCTAGACGAAGGCATTTTTGACTTACCAAAACCAGTGAATGCAACAATGGTGGACTTTCCAACTCCGCCGCCAACAGCTGAAAGAAAAGACATCAACCAAGAGCTCTTGGCAATGATAAAGTCAAATAAACAGCTCATTTTCGAGCAAAACAGTCTGATAGAAAGTCTAACATTGAAGGTTCAAAAACTTGAAACACACCTTCAAGCTGAGCTCCGGTCACAGGCAGAAATAAACGACCTGATTCAAAAAATAATTATCAAACAGCACCTTACTCCGAAAAATCAAACTTTGAAGCATCAATCTGTCTTACCACCTTTCGAATCGCCTCAAGAAGAAAGCCCGGAATTCTACGCTAGAAAATTGATCGATGCTTATCGCCGAAAATATCCTGAAATTTGAAAAAGTCTCGAATATTTTTCAATTAATTTTTCTTATAAATAATCGTGTTATTTTCGCCGAAACAGAGTTCACGTGAAGCGTGCTCGAGATAAGGGAGCTTTATGAAAAAAGTTCCTGCTAATGAAATTCTGTGGAATTTATCGACTCAAATCGCCAAACATGTCAACAGATAATAAACGGTAGAAAGGCGAAATTTCACTCGGGCGCGCCCATAAAACTTCCATAATCACAATATCCGCGTGAGCTCTAAAAAAGAACACTCAACTTCAACGCCCTGATAAACTAAAAAAATCATCAAAACTGAAAAACCAGCGGTTTGATTTCTGTTGGTTTAGCTTGAGTCACGTGGACTATCATTTCGAATAACCGAATATTGAGCAATTTGAAATGTGTCAGGACAGTTATGTCCGTGCTGATAAATCGAGTTTATGAGCTGCTCAAACAAGTAGATGAAATAATTGAGAGCTTCATGAAAGGTTGACAGTTACGGCAATCTCTCTTGTAGTAATACAACAAGTTCGTCTATTCGAGTTTATTAACATTATGTTTCAGATAAGAACAGAAATACATAAGGATCCATTTGAAAGAAAAAGTATTAAGGAATACTATTGGGGGTAGACTACACTCTAATATACATTAACGCGCCAAAAGTCTTCATTTTAAATCTCAATGCCGTGAATTTGAATCGGCAAAGGTCGTTTTATAGTCAAGGACAGATGATTTCACAGTCCATTTAAGTCTTATCGTCAAAAGATCTACCCTAGAAAAGCACTCATCTTTTCGCTCCATCTTTATGGTTCAATCAGTTTAGAGATCATTTTATTTAATAAAAAATTTAATAAAAAATTTTTTCATAAAAAAATGAATTTATTTCAGAAATATATTAAAAAAATCATGATACAGTCACATTTGATACAGTCAGATTTCAAATCTTTATTTTTTGCGAACTTTTGAAATTGTTATAGTTCAAATCGTTTTTTCGCCCAGTTCCAGAGTTGGTGATTCCATTCCTTGCTGACTTTTTTCGGCATCGAGCATTTGAGATAGTTGGCGAAGCTCGCTTTAGTTCTTGGAACGCCGGAATGAGCCTTTGCAATCAGCGCCATTTTGACTTCGTCGATTGAGCGGTACTGGTTGCTGTTGTTGTTTTGACCTTGCTTTTTACAGGTTCAATTTTACAGACTTAAAAATGGATGAAACGTAGAACTGGGCAGCGTCAGGTGCACCCGACGACCGCGGAGCAAAGAAGTCCGACCCTGACAAGACAGTTATTTGACGTGTTCCTGGGGCAGTCCGACCGCATCTTTACTAACCATATTCATTTTTCAAAATTTTCAAATCTTGAACCTGCGGATTCTCAATTTTTAAGGGAATGACGACTAGGTTCGTGAGGACTAGGTTCGTGTGACTAGGTTCGTGGTGGGTTCTGCCAGAGTATTGAAATCGGCCTATATTTTGGGGCAGTAAGGGAAATGGGTTGATAACTAGGTTCGTGTGACTAGGTTCGTGAAATTTTAAATAGAAAAAAATTTGGGGCAGTAAAGGAAACGGGTTGATGACTAGGTTCGTGTGACTAGGTTCGTGAAAGTTAAAAAATGAAAAAATGTGGGACTATATTTGCCAAGTGAGTAATCAAGCCATTTCCCTTACTGCCCCAAAATGGTGAAGATACAAAAATACATATAAAAATTCAAATTCCAAGAACCTAGTCACACGAACCATTTTTTCCGACATGGCACCCACGAACCTAGTCACACGAACCTAGTCCTCACGAACCTGGTCATCGGTCTCATTTTTAACGATTTTAACAGTGTTCCTTTATATGATTTTCGACCAAGATTTTTAAACAGAAAAATGTCTTGATCTTGTAGCCGAAATCTGTTCCCTTGAATTTTTCTCCCCGTAAAAAGGGTTAGGAGGACGACCCGCGTATCAAATCGGTTCTTTGAGAACTAGGGCGCGACCTCAACTGGATTATGGTCAGAACACATGCTCATCTAAGTGTTTTGTCCTCCAAGAAACACGTTAGTTAGTCTTTAACCGCACTAATTTTCAGAAAAAAATATCCTTTAAAATTCTTTTATTTTATTTTTCAAGGAAAAAACTTTTATCTGTGGCTAAGTTCAGACCCATAGGAAATATCCGAAACAGGATAATCCTCAAAATTAACCCCTACACGTTTCCTTTCCAATAAAATGACATGACATAACATCCAGGTCCATTTATGTTGTTATCTTTCCGGCGAAAGAAAATCTGACTCTGCTCCCAAAATCCAATTTGGAATCGAGTTAAGCTCAATCCACACTGCGCGGCGAAAGATTCCAGGGAATTTACAAAAGAAAATTAATCAAATTCTCGCCGCCGCCGAAATCTTATGAAAATTTAAATGCCAGACTTTTGGTGGTATTTCTCGGGCATAGAACTGCTCTGATTTATCTAAACTTTTTGACTGTAAGTTTTTTTTTATAAAAAATTTGATGCCGAAAATGCTCCAGAATTCCTCGACGAGTTAAATTTTTTTTTTATAAATGAACCTGTCCTCGTAAGAAATATCATCATCTTCGTCCTCAATCAGCTCAGTCTCGTGATACCATTTCCAGAGCTCTGACATTTATGGTTCGCGATTATCCAAAATATCCCATTTAGAGGTGACGTAATCAAGTCAGCCACTTCCGCCCGAAACTTTGACGGTATCCAAAGCCGAAGCCGTGTAACCTAATTTTCAGTTTTGCGTTTTTTTTTCTTGATGGAGCTTTGAAGAAGAAGGTCACTTACTGTACTACTCCTTCTAAAGCTAAGCATTATGCCAAGAGTCTTCAGAACAAGGAAGTATGCGATTCCGGTGCAATTAAAATTCAATTTTAAGACTGTGGCTCATCGAAACCGATGACGGAGTAAGCACCGCTTCTCCTCATCGAAACATCCGCTGTTCCCGATTTCGGTTTTACTTAAAGTCTTTTCAATGACAGTATATTTCGCGAACCATTCCTGAGACTATTTCCTCGTCAATCCGGAGGTTGTTTTTGCACCAATTGACGAAGCTTTCTTGGTATTTTGGCTTGCCACCTCGGTAAGCGCGGATTGCTGACTTTGCATCCTGAAAAGAAAATTTATAACAGAGGCGTTTCTCAAGAATGCCTTTCATTTACCTCAATTTCTGAGTGCCTCGTGACAGAATCGTGCCCTCGTCCTCGTCTTGCTCGTTCCAGTTCCTGTATTATCCGATCTTTAGAGATTTCTGATACTCTATCCGTAAAGTTGAGCTAGTTTTACCCTTGATAGTTTCGGGTTGAAAATGACCTTGAATATGATGTTTACAGCAAAGCTTATTGAAATGCGATTATTCTCGATTTTGGGCAACAAACGATTTAGCGATTGGCGCACGCGCAAAAACCCTTGCCTTGTTTCAAGGGCTGCATGCATGTTAACAATGCGAAAACATGGATTACCTGATACTCTTCTGGTATCT